AAAAATGAGAGAGAGACGGGGAAATGGAAAAATGAGAGAGAGAGAGAGAGAGAGAGAGAGAGAGAGATAGCATACCTAGAGAGCTTGTTGAGCACAGATAGGGTTTTGGGTTTCTCATAGAGATGGCTCGCAGAGAGGGAAGGTTTTTGGTAAGCTCAGAGAGATGGCTCGCAGAGAGGGAACGTGGGTAACTTAGAGAGATGGTTCGTTGAGAGGGAGGTGGGTTTCTCTGAGGCCTCTATGGGTGTCAGAAACTTTTTTTTTTTTCAATTTCAAATTCCCTCCCTGTGGGATGCATCCTAGCCGCCTAAATTGAAAGCCGAAATCTGGACCGTTCGACACACCTACATTACATGAGCGAGCCGGCTAAGCTAATATTTTTGTGAGCATGAGAGATTATCTATCCCTCCAGCTTGCTCAATAAATATATTATAAATATGTTTGGCCTTCACCACAGTAGAACTCATGGTGTTTATCATGGATTTTGTTGCACCCGATAATGTTCGATGCGATCGAATGAGTCGAGCTTTTCTTGGAGTGACAAGCTCGTGGTTGTGTTCTTTCTCAAACCTAATTAACCCACTCATTATCGGCATTTATGCTAATGCCAATCGTAGTTATACATCCACACCTTGTTTGAGGGATTTTCCTTGTACATTTTGCATCTTTTTGTTTACAAAACCCTTCTTTAGAGCATTTAAATCCCCTATCTATTCTTCGTCCATCCTTAGTATGAGTAATTGCCCTTTGGACCCCAAACCCATACGCGAATGCGTAAGCCTTGTAATGGTCAAATGCTTTTTCTTCAAAACCAAATTTCATCCCTATTTTGGGATCTTCAATTTCTACCCCCTTGGAAGACGCACCATGTTCCCCAATTCCCATATTTGTAGACTTCATAGGGGTAGTTGTTAGCAAGGTAACATGCTCCATGTATTCATTAGTGTCCCCCATATTGGGTTCAATGGTGTCCCCTATATTGTCTTCTTCTATAGACGTAGGAGATGACATACTACCTGAAATGGTGATATCCAATTTAGGTAATTTAAAGATCCTAAAATAAAAACAAAGTTCTTAGTATACTTATTAATTCTTAGATACAGTAAACCACCACTCATAAAAACAAATGTAAATTCTTGGTACACGAGAACAAACTATTTTTTGAGCCTTAAACCACCACGCTCATGAGAACAAAAACCAAATCAATTTTGAGTCTTAAAATGGTCCATTTTGTGCCTTTTATTGGACCATTCATTTTAATTATTCAAAGCACTTGATGTTCACTATTTCCTAGGTATTAAAAGACAAGCAAAGCACTCTCAAACAAGAGCTTAACAAGCTCTACATTAGAGCATTAGGACATAGCATAAATATGCCACAACTTGTAAGTCATAATCAATTCAAATTAAATCCCTTAGAAACAAACATATCAATTTGTTCGACAAACAACACTCAAAATATAGAGGCTCTGCAGTTCACTATCCTATTTTTTCCTTTTGATCCTGAGCTGTTAAGCAACCATTGTGCTAAACTATTTCCAAATGAACTATAATTTACCAAAAAATTCATAAAAAGGGAAATGCAGACGTGTAATGTTAAGAGAAATTATGATCAAACTATACCAAAATCACCACAGAGGATCATTTCTTAATGAATTTGTCCATTTTGATTATTGAAGTTCAAGATCACCTTAGAACAAATTATTTAATAATAAATGTTTTACTTTATGATGAAAAACACCTCACCACAACCAATATTAATGACCACAACAATCTCATAAACAATTATTCCAAGAGATATGGAAGAAATGGAAAATAAGATAATTATGGTCTTGTTTTATTGCGCAATATTGGCCATAATGGATAAAAAACCCAATCAAATAGTTTAATATCTATGAATACTAGCAATAGAAATCAATTTCTATGGAATCCTTGTTTCTCCAATTTTCACAAAACACAGAGAGGCATAGACCAAAATGTAGTAGATTTTCCTAGAGAGAGAGAGAGTCCGTACATTTTCTCCTCTTCTTGTTTCGTCTTCTATATTGAGAGAAAGTAGGAGACCAGGTTGGGGAGGGCACAAACTCACAAAAGAGAAAGAGAGGGGTGGCAGGGCACAAACTCACGGAAGAGAAAGAGAGGGGTGGCAAGGCACAAACTCACAGAAGAGAAAGAGAGGGGTGGCAGGGCACAAACACAAGAGAGAGAGGAGGCACAAACTCGAGATAGAGAGAGAGGGGGCAGGGCACAAAAATGACAAAGAGAGAGAGAGGGGGTAGGGCAGCCGACTAAACTAGAGATGAGAGAGAGAGGGCGCAGCAGAAGAGTGAGAGATTCGGGTGATATGGGTCTTTTTGTATGAGAGAGAGACAGAGGCACGCTACCGCATGATGCTA